CGTCTCACTACTAGAACCGGTACCAGAAAACACCCCCACAGTACAACAGACGGAAGAAATAATACCGGAAAACCCTAACGCCGACGAAAACCAAGAATAGACGGTACAGAAAGTCCTAGACAGTAGTTATATCAACGGTCAATTCCGCTATCTCCTAAAATAGGAAGGAAATTAGGATAATACCTAGGAACCACCTAAGAACTACGAAGGATATCAAGAGCTCATCAAAGAATTCCACCGCCGAAACCCAGATCGTCCAAAGCCGACACGTCAAATTCGCCAGGAAACGGATCAACCTCCCAGAAGGCGGGCATCCGCGCAAAATCCACCGGCTCCGACGTCTCAGGAGGCGCAGCAGAACCAGTCCCAGGAGAACCCACATTCACAGGACCCACAGAGGTATCAGCTAAGGACTCGCCACGCAAGCGCTCTACACGCCGATCACTCGTAGGATCCTTAGGGTCAACAGAATTCCCAACATAAGGACGAGACTCGCGCTTCTCTAACTCCTCCAACTCCGCCAAGGAAGCAAAACCGGAACGAATCATCTTAGAACGACGCTCTTATAGGAACCGCTATTGCTTCCGCAAGCGAAGCAGCTTCTCCAAAGTAGCATCCTCCTCGGCGGCCAAACGAGCCTGCTCCCGATCCAACCTCTCCACTAAGAACAGTTAGTAAAGAATAGCAAAGGGGGAAAAATAACCTACAACCCTACTCATTCGCCGCAGCTGCGTCACACCCCTTACGACGAGCCTTCAAACAAGTAGCACAAACAGAGAGATCTTTTTCTAAAGCGAAACACTTCGAGCCATGCTCTAAACAATTAGTACAGGGAATTATCTCTACGCCCTCACAAAAAATCGTCCGAAGTAAGGTTCTACGAGAAATAGTAGAACGATACTACTTAGAAGGAGGAGGACCTAAGTCCGAATCGTTAGTACAAGGACGCTTAGGAGGTATAGCAAGAGACTTACAGAGATAAAAGAGAAGGAACACGAGAACCCTAAGATATAGCCTAAAAGGAAAATCTTCGGGCCGAAGATCCTTAAGGAGGGGGGTAGTATTATAGACCGCAAGGGAAATTAACCCGCAGGGTCGGAAAGACCTTATAGAAAGAAAGCCCATACGGGCCTAGAAACCTTAAGGGCTTAGTAACCACAGAGGCCCGCGTCCCACAAGGCACCAGCAGATACGTACTAGGCAAGGCCGTAAGAGAACTAAGACTACAACCCTAAGAAGCCCACACAGGAATACACCCCGTAGAGACTTAGTCGACCAAAAGGCGACGACTCCAGAGAGCCCGCAGGGGATTAACGTCTACAAGGACGAAAGCAGCAAGCCGATAAGTAAACCCACAGAGCGATCGAGGATAAGGAACTTATCACGCCCGCTCTACGACAAGAAGATAGGTTATTAGGTTAAAGAAAGTTAGCTATTAGAAAAGTAGCACCCGAGTCACGTACGCCCTACGTATCGCCCGTAGATTATAGGCACTACTACGAGTATCGCCCTTCGTCGCCCGGCGATAAAAGGCTATAGTCGCCCTTCGTAACAAGGCGATATCAGATTATTAGCATTTCCTACATATATTTAGACCACGCTCTCTAGCAGTAGATAGGACCTTCGTAGTCAACTTAAAGTACTAATCTATACTCCTAGGTTGATAGTAATACGCCTACACCCGATCCTTCACGTAACTTATCTCTCAACTCCTACACTTCTTATCCTTCAAGGTAAACCCTTCGAACCTATTCACCCGCTAGGTAATCCCAACGCCTAGGCTAAAGAGGCCTCGTTACAGGCTCATCCTGATAACGACTTTACTTAGAAGGGCTATACCTTTAAGAATAGTAATAAGCTCTATACCTACTACTCGAAGGGTCACCGCGACTATATTAAGGTAGGTTTCGTATATCTTTCGCAGTTTACTTATCTATATACTAACATCTTTCGTAGATCGATATACGGCTATTATAGACCGTAAGGGAAATTAACCCGCAGGGTCGGAAAGACCTTATAGGAAGAAAGCCTACACGGGCCTAGAAACCTTAAGGGCTTAGTAACCACAGAGGCCCGCGTCCTACAAGGTACTAGTAGATACGTACTAGGTAAGGCCGTAAGGGAACTAAGACCACAACCCTAAGAAGCCTACACAGGAATACACCCCGTAGAGACTTAGTCGACTAAAAGGCGACGACTCTAGAGAGCCCGCAGGGGATTAACGTCTACAAGGACGAAAGCAGCAAGCCGATAAGTAAACCCACAGAGCGATCGAGGATAAGGAACTTATCACGCCCGCTCTACGACAAGAAGATAGGTTATTAGGTTAAAGAAAGTTAGCTATTAGAAAAGTAGCACCCGAGTCACGTACGCCCTACGTATCGCCCGTAGATTATAGGCACTACTACGAGTATCGCCCTTCGTCGCCCGGCGATAAAAGGCTATAGTCGCCCTTCGTAACAAGGCGATATCAGATTATTAGCATTTCCTACATATATTTAGACTACGCTCTCTAGTAGTAGATAGGACCTTCGTGGTTAACTTAAAGTACTAATCTATACTCCTAGGTTAATAGTAACACGCCTACACCCGATCCTTCACGTAACTTATCTCTTAACTCCTATACTTCTTATCCTTTAAGGTAAACCCTTCGAACCTATTCACCCGCTAGGTAATTCCAACGCCTAGGCTAAAGAGGCCTCGTTACAGCGGCGTTACGGTCGCGCTATAGATAGGATCGCTAAGGCTGTTACCGAGTAGACTAAGTCTACCGCGGGTAATACAGCGCGTTCGTAGGAGGATCGTAAGAAGCGCGCTGCCTCGATCCGCTAGAGTATAAGAGCTACTAAGGCCCGTATATATCGCGAGCGTACTACGCGTAATCCCGTCGGTAAGGACTAGTCCCTCTTCCGTAACTAGATCCTAGTAGAGATTTCCGATTACCTACGTAATATTTCTAAGAGCCTTCGCTACGTAGTACGTTCGTACCCTCTTCGTATACCTTATATATTCGCTAACTAGTCTTATAGCACGAGGTGGATCGTAACGACGAGCTAGTAGATAATATAAGGGAGCTAACTAACCTATAGTCCTAGGAGGCTAAAGAGGCGGCTACTGCTACTAAGGATAGTAATAAAGACGATAAGGATAATAAGGAGGATACTAAGGCTGATAAGGAGGATACGGGCGATAATACCTAGTTACTAGGTTAGCTGCGGTATGCATACGCCATAGATACGCTTCTAATAGGTTAAGGCTATATAGTATAGTCTTCTAAGTATAGTTATAAATTCTTATACTCTAATCTTGTCTTTTACTTCTTATACGGTGTTCCGCGTATGTCTCGCGCGTTACGCTTGCGCTTATACGTTATACTAGATAGTTCTTACTTATCCTAGTATTCTACTACTAGCTGTTAGTAGTATTCGAGGTTTTCGTTAGTTTCCTATATATCTTCCGTAGGCGAATAGCCTGCCTATCGTACGAGGTACTTAATCTTCTATCCTCTTTTACGATGGTTAAGGATTTCTTCTACTTCCTATTCTCCTTCGCCCGCGATTTCTACGGGCTCTGGCGGCGTTTCTCCCTCTCTTTATATAAATAGCTCGAGTAGGGATACGTGAAAGATATCGTAGATTCTATACTACCCTAGTAGTTCTAGCCGGTACGCCTGCTTTCCGATAGGTTCTCGCACTCGGAAAGGGCCTAGAAAACGATCTATTAGCTTACGCTAAGGTCTTTTAATAGAAACGTTCTTAGCGTTTAGTAGGATAAGATCGTTAGTTTTAAACGTTCGTAGCCTATACCGATTATTATAGTACTTTATTTATTTGCTAACGGCGTCTTATATACGGTATATAAGCTTATCGCGTGTTTTATCGTAGCTACTCTACATACTCTCTTACGCTTTAGTTCTCCCCCCGGGGAACGTCGGTGTAAGAGTTGGCCGACGGGCAATCACTAGGTTACTAGGAAACGTAGGTTGGACGCAGTTAGTTCGCACCAGGGTCATACTTGAATTGGTGTATAAACTATTTCCTGCCCTAGCGCCCATTGCTCCTGGGGCAGCTATTTATCCTTGTGCGTGGCCTCCTTCGGTAAAGGGCTTGGCACCCACGTGACCCGCAACAACATCGCATTGCTTGAGGACCAGTCCCTCGTTTCTAAGTTCCTTACAAAGCGTTCCTACCCCGGGCAATCCGACCTCGGATTGCTGATGACTTCGTATAGGTCCGAAGAGAGTACGTTCCGCGTAGGGAGGGGCGTACTGTGCGCTTCGAATACGGTTGTGCTTCTCTTTCCGCGCAAGGCGTGTGTGTTATGAGAACTATGCGTCGCTGTTCGACGAGGTATAGTCGGGGGTTGTAGTGGTGGTAAGATAAATGGCTTCTAATCTGCGTGGATCTATCGGAGTTCTTTGTTGCGCGTGTGTCGTGTACAGAGTTGAAAGGAGTCTTTGTATGATCGGGGTGGCGTTGCGCATCTTTTTCGCATGATTATAGTAGCTACCGCTCTGCGGTAATGGCGATTAGTATCTTTAACCTAGATCTCGGTATACGTCTTCGTGTTTTCTTTTTCTCCTTGTTTCTGCGTTCTGGGTACGAGGCGGTGGCGTGTTCTGTACTTGCCGTACGCGGCCAATCTCGTGCTGCTTGCCGTTCTGCTTGCTAGCAGGACTCTAGTGGTGAATGAACCTTATGGGAGCTCCCTCCCGTTTAGGCTGTGGCGCGCGCGCGGGCCACCTACGGGTGACTGCCTACACGCGTGTAGTCACCTTCACTTAGGTATAAGGGGACACCTCCCGCTGCTACTTCCCCCTCTCTTTTATAACTCTCTCAGCGCGTTCCGACCTTCATCTTCGTACGCGCTTAGCCTGCGTGGCTTTCTTGTCTTCTATTGTCTCTTCCTTGTCCAAAACCTTTGAAATCGCACCCGAATCACGCCTTCTTGAGATACGCATCGACATCGCCTAGACATCGCACCACCTACTTCACTTCGACATGGCTCCTAAGTTAAAGGCTCCTGTCCCGCAGCACCTGCGCCGTGGTGCCGGTACTAAATCGCCTGTGTCCTGTCTGCGCTGCTTCTTCCAGTGGGCTCATCCTGACAACGACTTCACTTGGAAGGGCTGTACCTTTAAGAATGGCAACAAGCTCTGCACCTACTGCTCGAAGGGTTACCGCGACTGCATCAAGGTAGGTTTCGCATGTCTTTCGCAGTTTACTTGTCCATGTGCTGACATTTTTCGTAGATCGATATGCGGCGTTACGGTCGCGCCATGGACAGGATCGCTGAGGCTGTTACCGAGTGGACTGAGTCTGCCGCGGGCAACATAGCGCGTTCGCAGGAGGATCGCAAGAAGCGCGCTGCCTCGATCCGCCAGAGCATGAGAGCCACCAAGGCCCGCATGCATCGCGAGCGCACCACGCGTAATCCCGTCGGCAAGGACCAGTCCCTCTTCCGCAACTAGATCCTGGTGGAGATTTCCGATCACCTGCGTGACATTTCCGAGAGCCTTCGCTACGTAGTACGTTCGCACCCTCTTCGCATGCCTTGTGCATTCGCTGACTAGTCTTGTAGCACGAGGTGGATCGTGACGACGAGCTGGTGGATGATGTGAGGGAGCTGACTGACCTGCAGTCCTGGGAGGCTGAAGAGGCGGCTGCTGCTGCTGAGGACAGTGATGAAGACGATGAGGATGATGAGGATGATGAGGAGGATGCTGAGGCTGATGAGGAGGATGCGGGCGATGATGCCTAGTTGCTGGGTTGGCTGCGGTATGCATGCGCCGTGGATGCGCTTCTGATAGGTTGAGGCTACATGGTGTAGTCTTCTGAGTGTAGTTATGAATTCTTGTACTCTGATCTTGTCTTTCGCTTCTTATACGGTGTTCCGCGTGTGTCTCGCGCGTTACGCTTGCGCTTATGCGTCGTGCTGGATGGTTCTTGCTTGTCCCAGTATTCTGCTACTAGCTGTTGGCAGTGTTCGAGGTTTTCGTTGGTTTCCTATGTGTCTTCCGCAGGCGAATAGCCTGCCCATCGCACGAGGTACTTAATCTTCTATCCTCTTTTGCGATGGTTGAGGATTTCTTCCACTTCCCATTCTCCTTCGCCCGCGATTTCTACGGGCTCTGGCGGCGTTTCTCCCTCTCTTTGCATGAATAGCTCGAGTAGGGATACGTGAAAGACATCGTGGATTCTGTACTGCCCTGGTAGTTCCAGCCGGTACGCCTACTTTCCGATGGGTTCTCGCACTCGGAAAGGGCCCAGAAAACGATCTGTTAGCTTACGCTGAGGTCTTTTAATAGAAACGTTCTTAGCGTTTAGCAGGATAAGATCGTTGGTTTTAAACGTTCGTGGCCTATGCCGATCATTGTAGTACTTTGTTTGTTTGCTGACGGCGTCTTGTATGCGGCATGTAAGCTCATCGCGTGTTTGTCGTAGCCACTCCGCATGCTCTTTTGCGCTTTGGTTCTCCCCCCGGGGAACGTCGGCCTCGACGTCAATATCTAGGGCAATGGAGTCACCCATTAAGGCTTCGGCCGGGCTTATCTTAATAGTCGCATGGTAAGCGCTGTTGTATACGAGCTGTGCTATAGGAAGAAGTTGGGGCTAGTCGTTTTATTTAAAATTGGTGTAACATCGCAGATAGTGTTCCAAAAGTTGATTTTGCCGTTCCGTCTGGCCGTCTGTCTGCGGGTGGAATGCGGTGCTTAGGCGTCTTTTGCTGCGAGTATACTATATCAATGTGGACTAGAACGAACTGGTAAATAGCGACCCGCGATTACTAACGATGCTAATAGGGGCTCCGAAAAACGTAAGAATCCTATCGAGCCATATTTTAGCAAGGTTTTTAGCTGAAATATTTATATTCGTAGGGATATAGATGGCGAATTTCGTGAAGCGGTCGATAACGACGAGTATCGCGTTTACTTCGCATTCATTACTTATCTTCGCCCCTGGGAGGTCCGTGATAAAATCCATGGCTAAATGCTTCATGGGCCGATTTGCTATCGGCAACGGTTGTAACTCTCTATACGCGGGGTGCCTGCGGGTTTTTGTACGTTGGTAGGTGGCGCAAGTTGCCACATAATCCCTAATATGAACAGTTATATCTGGCCAGAAGAATTTGGGTTTGATACTTAAGTATGTTCGGGTATAGCCCAGATGGCCTCCCGCAGGGTCGTTATGGTGTCTTCGCATGATTTCCGCCCTGATAGCGCTTGACTTAGGTACATAAATTGCGCTTCTCAACCGTAGCAGGCCTTCGCGGTCCTGCTACTATAGCTTCTGCTGCGCTCCGGCGTCGTCCTTAATGGGTACTCTCTAGCTTTCCGCAGTTATAAAGGGATCCAATCTTTGCAACTCCTTTAAGCCTTCTTTGAGCTTATTACCTACAGGCGAATATGCCGTTTCGGCCGCGGCTAGCCTACGCGCCGCGGACCGTGGCACGAGATGTTTATAACTATCTGCGCCAGTAGAGGCCTTCCCCGAACCTCTACGACTACGCTCTTTCTGGGTTTCCCGTGCGTCACTTATAGTGTACAGCCATAGTGCTCCCAGCGTAGCCCGATCAGGAACCTGTTCCTGATTCCGTGAAAGTTTTAATTCACGGTTAGGGTTTTCTTGGCAAACGACTTCGTCGTCCAGGGGTGATCGCATGCGCGTACCCCGCGCACCACCGTCCTGCTCTGTCTCTCCAGAGGCCCGCTCCTCAAAATTACCATTTGCAAGTTTTAACTTCTTTTGTAGTGTAGGGAGTATAAGAGTCGCATGCGCGACCTCTTCCTTCCGTCTATAATCCGCCCGCCGGGAAAGCGGGTCGGCCGGATTGGTTTTTCCGGTACGGTACTTGATTTCAAAATCAAACTGGGCCAGTTCTTCGGCCCAACCTGCTTGTCGCCTGCTAAGGGCCTTCGTTTTCATGAAGTATCTAAGGTTGTTGTGGTTAGTTAAGACTTCTACTGCGTGCTTACTGCCCTCCAGGTAGGGTCTCTAGTGGCGAAAGCACTCGACTATTGCGAGCATCTCCTTATCATGCGTATTATAACGCGATTCATAGTCTTTTAACTTCCTGGAATAGAAGGCGATGGGGTGCTATTCCGCCTTATCTGGCTTCTCGCCGAAGAGCTGGGAGATTGTTCCGCCTATGCCTTGTCTAGAGGCATCGCACTCGATTCGTGTGCGTAGCCCTGGGTAGAAATGCCTCAGGAGTGGCTTCATTTGGAACCTTTTCTTTAATTCTTGGAATGCCTTTTCGGCATCCTCTCCCTAGTGCCATTTGGTACGGTTATTCCGCACCTGCGTTTCGAGTGCGCGTAGTGGTCGTTCCACTTGTGAAAACTTTTTAATGAATCGACGATAGAATCCGCAGAATCCTGTGAAACTGCTAATATCTCTTGGACATGTGGGAGTAGGCTATTCTTGTATAGCCTTTACACGGTCGTCTTCCATACGAATTCCGTGCGGGGTGACAATGAATCCGAGGAAATCTACTTCGGTCACCGAAAAAGCGCACTTCTTCAGGTTGGCATATAAGCCGTAGTCCCTTAGTCTTTTCAACACGATTCGTATATGCTCCGTATGCTCTTCGCGCTTGGATAAATAAATGAGGATGTCGTCCAAATATACCATATATATGTAATCAACCAGGCCCGCCAGAGCTCGGTTGATGTAGGACTAGAAAGTAGCGGGCGTATTCGTTAGCCCAAATGGCATCACTAAGTACTTATAGTGGCCATATCGCGTGCGAAACGCGGTTTTCCACTTATCGCCTTTCTTGATCCGTATCCTATGGTAGGCATCCTTCAGATCTAGCTGCGTGTACACTGCGGCTTGAGAGAGGCGATCGAGCGTTTCGCTAATAAGCGGTAGTGGATAACGATTCTTTATAGTTATACTATTTAGACCTCGGTAATCTACGCACAGCCGTAAGCCCCCTCCCTTCTTTAGCATATACAAGATGGGAGCGCCCGCTGGGCTGTTCGACTCCCTGATCCACCCCTTTGCTAGGCTGTCCGCAAGGTATTCGCGTAGGACACTAAGCTCGGTCTCAGAGAGGTGGTACAGGGGGCCGAAGGGAGGCTGCTTACCATCGACTAGGTCGATACGATGGTCATGCGCGGCGTTTGCGGGCAGGGTGCTAGCCTACGCCGTATCGAAAACATCGGCGAATTCAGAGTATTCTGCTGGAATTTGATGCTTAGGTTCATCTTGAGTTTAATGCCAGTTGAGTTTCTTAAAACGGGCCGCAGGCGTCTCGCCTGCATTGGCCATCGGGTATACCGCGTAAATAGTGGCTCCTTCTTATAACGCCTAAGTGACTTCCTCGATGGTAGCGTTCTCGGTTGGGGAGTTATTTAGTTGGGCTATTCCCTCACGCTAGTTAACAGTGGGATTATAGGCGCGGAGCCATAGATATCCTAAGATGATATCGTAACCGGCGATTTCAGCTACACAAAAGACGGATGTATTGTCGGCGCGGTTCTTATATGAATCGCGTACGCTAACTGCGTATATAATAATGCTATAGGTTGGTACCTTATAGCCATCTACCGTATATGCCCTTAGGGCCGGTGTCTATACCGCCACGAGTTTATTTCTTTTCAAGAAGTCATAGGATATAAAGTTCATAGCTGCTCTAGAATCAAGGAGGGCCTTAGTAGGGTAGGTTTTCCCTGCGACTCGCATGCTTACGTCAAGTATAATGCGTTCGGCTTTCCTATTTGTCTCGTTCCCGAGTTGAACGGTAGCCAAATTGGCCTAGGGTCTCTTCCCCTTATTGTCCTGTAGACATTTGTTCTTCATATGCCCCTGTTCTCCGCAGTTGAAACAAACAATATTGCTGAAGCTGCGGGAAGCCTGCGGTACGGGTGCTGGCCCTATACCACGGCCATTCCTATAGGGTTAAACACGATCACGGTATGATTTAAAGTCTTTGTTCCTAAAGGACTTGCTTTTCTCAGGGATTTTCCCTTTTTCTTTTCTCTCGCTGCTGCGCTAAGAGTGCGTATTGCCTTCGATTCGCGTTGTAAGCGCTACTAGGCCTTCCCTTGTTTCAGGGATTATCTGCATACGCAATACTTCTTTGCGAAGGGGGTCAGTTAGTTTCTGCAAAAATGCGCCGCGTCGTATCGTTTCATCAGGCCTTCCGCCTAGTAACTCGTCTTCCAATAAGTCAAGATAATTTGCGAACGCGGCCGCAGACTAATGGTCGCGCTGCTTCGCAGTAAACCACTTATGTTCAAATTCGCTTACTCTGTTGACTGGGTCACGAACTTGGTCAAGGAGGTGTTCCTTAAATATCTCCCAGGTGATAGCATCCCTGCCGCCAGGGACAGCGCGCGTGAATCGCCTATAGTTCGCCTACGCGTTGCCCTTTAGCTTGGTAGAAGTATATACCACTTTCTTACGTTCACGTCGGAACGTGCGAGGCTGCAGCTCGAAGAGTGCTTCGCAAGCATAGATGAATTCGCTATGCTCCTGCACAGACTTGCTAAAGTAGTTACCCGGTCCCTCAACTCTTGGTTAGGGTGAATTGCTACGGGTACTAAATAGACTGCGAGTGCGGTTCGAGTACGCTACGGGTGCGCGTATAAACCGATCTTCTTCCTCGCTTCTTTCCTCGCTCCTTTCGCGTGTGTGTATCGGTGGTTCCGATTCTTCTTCCGCGGGTCGCATACGTCGTTCGCTATTTTGGGCTAGTTCGCGCTGTTGCTGTTCGAGTTCCTGTAGCCTGGCTAGAACCTGTCGAAACGTTTC